GGAGGAAAACCATCTATACAGAATGTTCCAGAAGAATGGATATCCAAGGAGTTTTATCAAGAGAAGCTTGAAGAAGAAGAAGACATCTCAACAACAGCCACAGCAAGAACAAGCCACCAGACGGGTAGTCCTACCTTACATCAAGAATATATCAGAACTCGCAACCAGATTATTGGCGCAAAAAGGAACCTTCGTGGCCCACAAACCGAGTGCTACTCTAAGGAAATTAATCTCTAGACCGAAGGGCAACCAGGACAAAACCAAGAGGAACAATGTGATATACCAAATCGACTGCAACAAATTCTACGTTGGACAAACTGGGAGAAAAGTATGTACACGAATAAAGGAACACAATGCGGCTGTCAGGAGGCATGACCCCCTCTCCTTGATATCTATACACGAGGACCAGGAAAGCCATAAATTCAATCTGGAAAACGTGAAAAAAATTTTGGCATACGGAGACACGCGACACGAAAGAGAACCTCTGGAAGCATGGTATTCCACGACAGGTTCAATAAACCGGGGCATCGAACTGGATCCAATTTACGCACCTCTACGCGCGAGAGATCAACATCGCAACCGAAACACTCAAGGAGGACCGAACAATGGATTCACAAACGAAGAAACAAGGAACTCCTCGGAGTCAAATCAATAAAGGTCACAACCGGAACTCGGAAGGACAAAGGTCACTCCAACATCGACTAGACTACGACGGCGAGGGATGCCTTGTTCAAAAGTCACGTGGGCATCGGCGAATGAGGACACGGGATAAAAAGAACAACCAATGGAACTGCCCGACAGAATAACTAATCGCGGTCAAATGTCATCCCCGGCTACCAGCACGTATATCAACACACACGTAACACTACTGAACGCACAACCACTAACCCACCGCTTCGCACAACTACGCACTGATGATGTCACCTCGATTGGTGATGAAACGTTTGCAACCAAATTGCCCAGCTCAGCGAACAAGCCAACGACCATCTACGCTACCTGAGCTACCGACATTCTCCTCTATAGAACAGACATTCTTGATCATAGAGTGCTGGCCCTGAGTACCTTGTGGTTTTCAAGTAATCGATTCCAATTTGCGAATACCAATCTGCGGAAATATCAGAATATCACAGTGGTGCTTGGGGCTGGCTGTGCGGAGAGTGCACGCATTACCTGATCGGTCAGGATTTCGACCAATCAGGGCCGCGCGCCCTTAGCTCGACGCTTCCGGTCCCTTGGCAAAAATTCTTGACGTGGTTCTGTAGAGACTTCTGTGCTAATCCCATGAATTCGCCGGTATTAACTTTCCACTGTCTCCGTGAACGGTTGTAAGTAGCTTTTATGCTCTTTATATGACATTGTAGGTGGAACATAGGGCGAAGGACTGACAGGAATTGCAATATTGTTCGCGCGACAAAACGGCTTCGTGCACTGGCCGCCTCAGACATTTCTGGGAGTGTCCGATGGCCGTCAGAGCTAATAAAGTTACTAAGACATTTACGCTTTGTCACAGCCGGCAGTGCTCCTCCCTAAACCGTAAGGGGCATTTTCAAAGACTGTAAACTCTAACGGCTGACGTTGAACTTTGAAGGCGCGTGCCGTATGTCGAAGGAAGGTATGTTGTTGGTCAGTTTGTTCAGCGGGACTTTTGCTCAACCTTCGTCTTTGGCGATGTGGGTGACATCTTTTCACCGCAGCAACATCATGAACACCCGGGCTTTGAAGGGCTCCCAGTGCTCATTCAATCACTTTTTCAATGCCGAAACTGAACAAGACTGGGGAAAATCAAAACCGTCACCTGAAGACTCTCTTAGTAAGGAAGCTTTCACGGAGCTCACCATACGTTTGCATCACCAGAAGCATGTGGGAGAACGGGATTATGTTCGAAAACTAAGGCTATCCCAGAGCCCTGGGATATACGCTAGCTGACGTTAAATCTGTTGAACAAGCGGTTAACAGAACTGATCTATCGACAATCGAACGCACTCTTGAGGTGAGGGAATACCAAGATTGTGGGTTGTTTGTGCATGTGGCGTTGTTCTTACACCTAACGATGTGTGAAGATGCGCTCGGCATTGCGTCTAGCTAGTGGAGATCCCTCTTCATGCGCACGGGTCAAGGTTTCGATTTTCGAAGTTGACAACAAACCAATGACGCCAGAAGCCTTGTTACAACCGGCGTCAAATTGACATCTCTGTGGTTATTACATTCACTGCGGGAACCCTTTTTTGGAAATGGATATTATTATATACTCATCCGTTGCCTGGAGTGTCCTTTACTCCTGGATGGACGCAAATAGGCTTGCCAGAGACCTGCTGATGAATTGACCAACATCCCTAATGACAGCAGATGAAAGACCATCAGTAACAGAAATAGTATGACGCTTGAGTGGAGATGTAAACTCGGACACTTCTGAGGTTAAAGGGGTTCCATAATCACACTTCACCTTTCTAATGAACATTGACATTCCAGATTGGAGGTCGTAAGTGGTCAACAAAGTTCTTGTTAGATTATGATGCCCAATAGCCCAAAGGTTTCCCTTCGCCGGATATCAGAGATCCACCCTAATCTTTGGAACTTTCGCTGACGTCATCATCATCGGCTGCATGACACCACCAAGCATACTGAGGTGCCTACATCTCTAACCGCTCAATCAGACATTCTGGAAAGAAACTGACAGCACGAACGCCACTGACGTCGATTAGCCGCCATTTCTTGCAACGTCTCCAGCCAAGCACAGACGGGGTCACGGGAACCCAATCCTGGAAGTCGCACAACACCAACGGCACCCAAACTCTTCGTGATCTCTTTGACGCCTTTCTGCCAAGTCATATGCTGTCCACCTCGCGATTTGCGCCATCCTGAAGGAGGCACGGAGAACAACACTTGTCTCGGTAGATGGTGTTTCGGCATGCGTAGCACATGACCATGGGATGGGGTAACGGTCGGGTATGGTGGCGTTATTGAGTGCTTTGAGTGTTTCCCCGGATTGAGGTGCCTGCAGCAAAACCAAATACCTGTTTTCTAATCACCTTGTTACACGTTGACGCCATCCACAACCAGCCAC